CTGATACATGGGCAAATTATTTATCTTCCCTGAGCCTCAGTTTCCTCATCTGTAAAATGGGGATAAAAACAGCACCTACCTTACAAGGTTGTTGTGAGGTTCAAGTGAGATAATGTATATGAAGTGCATTATACACTTTAAAGAGCTATAAAAATGTCACTTATAATTGTTTTTTATAAGTTGTATGATATATCATGATATAGGCTTCAATAGTCATACCCTCAGTAGGATCAATCATTCAAGCTGTGAGATACTAAAACATTGCTTCCAAGAGGCTCCTTGGTCTAAGCCATTCTCATCAAACAAAAAGGTAAGTAGTCTCACATCAAGAATTTTGTCCTTCTGCATGACTTGCCTCTGAGCAGGGCTCTTTCATCATATGCTCAAAATACAGTAAGGGGGACCACTCTATCCTCCCTGGCTATCTAGGATGTATCTGTTCTTCAAGGACAAACCTAGTTTCCTCTTTCTCTATGAAGCCTTTCCCAATTCCAAGTTCTCCACAACCTGGTTCTGACCCACCTCCCAGTCTTATCTTTATAGTCAGTGGCAGATTTGAGAAACTATATTCCTGGTGTCCCCAAAGTGGGATGTGAGCTATAGAGAGGGCTGCCCCAGGAAAGATCAGTTGTGGATCCTTTCCTAAAAGGTAGTAATTAAAGGCTGTTTTAGGAAGATAGAAGGCTTACGTTACCTAAACTGGCCCCACTCATTCTGCAGCAACAGCAGGGTGAGATACAGTGGGATGGAAAGGACAAGAGGTAGAAGGGATCTCCCATGCAACTGAGCTGATGCAATCAGAGTTGTCTTGGAGACCTGGAATCTTTTCCATCTGTTGAAGTTTCTGTGTTTCATTATCAAGTCTCTCGACTAAATGATTGTGCCCAGAGTATTTTCTTGTATGTTTTTCTCTAGGGGATAGTCATGAAAGTATCATCGGAGAGAGAAATGTGAGGATATGGACAAAAATGAACCCTAGGGATTTTGGGCCTTGCTGTATGTCCTGCCTCCATACCCCTGGACCTCCAGGCCTTTCCATCTGCTCTGCACTCAATGCTCCTAGGTGCCTTCTCCCCCAATTTGAACGCAAACTCCTTGATGCCTCGGACAATTTTCTTTTTGTATTTGTATTCCAGCACTTAGCACGGTGCTTGACACATAGTAGGTGCTTCAGAAATATTAATTCCTTTACTCATTCAAGATGACACCAAGCGGAATCTGCCATATCATTTTAAGATGGAAGGACTTCAACTTAAAACACCATCTGGTTCCCCTCATATGTAAGTTCCATTACAACATAACCAACACAGATTGAAGACTTCTAATGAGGTCTCACGGATTGTTCTAAATGTTATGGAGTTTTTCCTGCCATCAAGCCTAAATTTTCTTCTTTTTGGCTTCTACCATTGTCCCTGACCCTGTCTTTTTTTTTTTTTTTGAGGCAATCTGTATTAAGTGACTTGCCCAGGGTCACACAGCTAGTAAGTCTGAGGCCAGATTTGGACTCAGATCTTCCTGACTCCAGGGCTGGTGCTCTATCCGCTGCTTTTTGAGGCCACAAAGTAAGTCTAATTATTCTTCTCCACAATAGCATGACAGCCCTTCAAATAGGTGAAGACAGCTATGAGGTCCCCTTTAGTCTTCTCTCCTCCAGGCTAAACACCCCCAGTTCCTTCAACCTTATATGGTATGAAAGTAGATATCTGAGGTAGGCCACATTTCACAGTAAATTATAACCTTCTTGAGGACCAAGACTGCCCTTTCCACCTTTGTCTTTCCCATTGCACCTATCAATCAACCAATCAATAAACAAGCTAAAATGCAGGGCTAAAAAAATTCATTGAATGAATTTTAAAAAATATTTATTTTATTTTTAATTTATAGAATAGAACAAGAATTTTCATTATACAGTATAATAAAGAATGATTGTACATGAAATGGCAAATCTATTATGTACAAATTGCCATTCCTTTTAAATATATAGCAAAGTTGTCATGTAAATTTCTTTTTTTCTCCCCTTCCCATGGCTACCATTAGACACAAATATGTATATATATATATATATATATATATATATATGCAAAATCATTCTGTACACACTTTTATCATTTCTTTCTCTGGATGCAGACAGAATGAATTTGTTAAAGTAAACCACCCGCAGCCCATATTGTTCCCTCTTTGATGCCCTTTTGCAGCACTGAAAAATAGTTCTTACATCATTTAACAAGCAATTTTAGATTACCTTGTTCTCTAAAACATTCATGTGTACAGGTTTCTCATCTCCCAAACTAGATTGGTAGCTCCTTAAGGGTAAGGACTGTGTCTTATACTTCCCCATCTTCCACATACTCTGACCAGGGTCTTAAACTGCTGGGAACATAGTGGGTTTGCAGAAAATGCTAGACAACTAATTGCTATGTTACAGACAGGTTTCTAATCCCTGGAAGCATTTTTATAGATTGTATGTGTTAAAATGTATTTCTCATTAAGCAACTCCATTAGTAGCAATTTAGTACAACCATCTGAGACTGTTTAGCATTTTCTAGCACTCTGAAAATGAAGTATCCCTGGAATTATTTGTCCTTGCTGTCAGAAGCAGATGGAAAGATTTTTCAGGTGACTGACAGTGCTCAGTCTATTGCTGAACTTTATCCAATGCAAGGAAGACATTCCTTAGTGTTTAATGTCCATTTAATTTCTAATGGGAAAATAAGACTTAATGAAAAAGGCCCCTGAGGCATAATATATTTCTCATCATACATCTATCCCAAGAAGAAAAATGTTCTCAGTTGTTTAATACTTTAAATGCAGATGTTCTCAGGAATACTATGTCAGATTACCCCAGATCCTTATTTATTTCTAATATACTGTAAAATTAATGTTTGCTGTACCACATTGTTGTTTAGATGACTTTTCTTCTAGTGATTCCGTATACCAATCCTTCAACAATTCTCAAAGATGAAAATTTAGCAATTCTCTGTTCTGAATTGATTTCAAGTAAACAGAATGCTAATTCAGAGTAAACTTTTTTCCCACCTTCATTTTCTGTTTGTATTATACAATAGGAGACGAAATAAAAATAAAATGAATTGGCAATAGACTAGATCTAGCAGTAAAAGAAAACACATGGCCTGTGAATGTCATTTGAGCTCAGCCCCTACCATGTGCTCTCTCTGGCTGGATCTGTTAGATAAGTAGCCAGAGACTTGGCAAAAACCTGCTTATGTCAATAGTCATTGCCCATCATTAATAAACCCAAAGCCATTTTTAAGTCATACTGCAGAGTGGCACCAAGTCCAAAAGAAATGTTGGTTACTCAACCAATAAAGGAGGCAGAAATGGAATCAGGACCATTTTGTAATAGACCAGGATGTCTCTGGTAGGTCAGTTACCTTGGGTTTAATTGGCATTAGCAAATCCTTCCATTTCCTCACTAAACAACAACCGTGGGGGGGGTGGGGGGGGCAACCACTGAAGTTTTGTTTTTTTTTTTAATTAGTCTGGTAAAAGTGCAGGCTTTGCCAAAGCATTAAAGCATTTCATGTTAGGACACTTTTGTACATTCTCTAGGATTGAAATAACTTTTATTCTCTAGTCTTGGCTAAACCAATTTTTTTCCTTCCCGCTTTTGCTTTTTTCCCTCCCTCTTTTCTCCTTTTTCCCCCTCTCCTTGGTTTTTATTCTTCACATTTCCAAGTCCTATAACTAAAAAAATTCTTCCAAACTTGCCCACCTAGGGCTGAGAAAGTGAAAATCATATTAGGGAGGAAAGTAAAAATTAAGCTACCCTCATTAGCTCTTTACAGGCATGGGTCTTAGCTGTCATTCTTTGGCTCTGGACCAGAGTCTAAAACCAGGCATGGGAAAAGCTGCTGAAATAAAGCCTGCAGTTCCCTACATGTCTCACTTACATACTGCTGATATCTAGACACATTTTTAAAAATAACACCAGCAAGACCCAAAGTATTTCAAACAAATATGAATGCCTTCTTGTAAATATTTTAAAATTATTTTATAGATAACATCACATTCTCTCTCGGCTTTCTCTCATCTTTTCAGTTACAGTTTGCCTTTAGCGCCTTTCTACTATGGGCTTTTTGGGGTCAGAAGGTCCATTTTAAGGAGCTGTCATAATTTCTTCCAGTATTTCCCAGGGTATAACACAACCTTTTCATTTAAAGACAACAAACTGAAGTTGCATTGTAGCACGAGGAAAGCTTGTTGCTCCTTCCTTCTAACTAAACAGTGCAAGTAAAACAGAAGTGGCAAGATGAACCCCTGTGGAGTCTTTCATCTCCCTGGGAAAAGAGCTTGAGGAGACCAGGCCTTCTGCATGTTCTCTTCAGCCTCTGTTTTACACCTTGCACTTGTGAGCCCTGGTCTTCCCACACATTGAGATGATGTCACTCGATGGAAAAGGAGGCGCCTGTGTGGTGAAGGGATGTAAAAAAAATTCCAGGGTGTTCCTGATCAGCTCCCAGAGGCAAACTGAGTCAGAATTTGCAGATCCGTTGATCGCTAGGTTGGCGTCTGCTCTTTAAAAACTGGCCAAAATTATTTTTGCCTAATATGAAATGAAAAATTCAACCAAAGTTCTACTGTTCGACCTCTTGGAATATTAACAAAAACCCCAACTCTGCACTTAGGTCCTCTCATTAGCCACAGATGAACTGGGGAAGCCCTACAATCTTTGATGAAATATCCTTCCCTCTCCCAAGCTCAGGGTCTAGCAACGTGCCTTGCTCTTAGTACAGCCTCAAGTTTTATTTCTAACATGCAGATACAAAATGTCAAAGGTGCCTATTGTAATTGACCTCAAATTAGCAACAAAAAAACTCATGAATCTAAAAATAAGACATATTTTCTCTTTGAATTCAGTGAAACAAAACATAACAAACAACTGAATGTCTGAATTCCTTCATCCAAAGAACTTCTGCCTAATGCAGAGTTCAACATTGTTTAAAAACTTTTCAAGTGGGAGAAAGAAAGACAAAACTCACCCTCGCTTTGAGAAAAAGCATCATTTGAACTTGCCAGGGCCAAAGTAAGTAGCAGCTGCCAAAGATCCATACCTGTAGGTCCTGTAATAGCAAAAGGGACAGAATAAATTCAGATAGTCAAAAAAGAATAATCCTGTCTGAGTGCTATTTAACAAATCAGCCAATTCATGAATAAGTGCCCTCTGCAATTTACAAAAGAAACCCAGAGTGTGATAACTTCTGTTGTCTCAGAGTGTCATGCTGTAAAGTACTTTATCAGGGCCAGCAGTTGGTTATACTAAGTTCTGCCTCCTGTGGGTCCTTGACTCAGGAAATAACATGGACACCAAAGATTTTCAAATCCTGGCTGATGGCCACAGAATCACCTCCCAACAAGTTACCCCCACACACAGCTTACAACAATAAGACAAATGTAGTTCACTTTAATTAGATCTGGAAATAGAACAACATGTCAGCAATCTCTCTAAGCATTGCTGCCCTGTGCTGGACATGCTATAAAAGGGAAAAATAAAACAACCTATTGGAACAGCAGGTGAAATTTTCCCCTTCTGTTTTTGAAAGAACTAAAGGATTCGAGTGATAGAAAGAGGGGGGTAAAAAACCAACCAAATGAAATTTTGTAAAAGGTAGAGAAGAAAAACAGCTGGGAGTGGAGAGGGAGGAGAATATAGCAAACAAAACACTTTGGCTTCCTAGGTGGCCTGGAGTCCACATATTGGGCCTGTGGTAGATTTTTGGTTTATGAGGTTTTTAGGGAATGTGGTCTCTGAGAAACCCAGGAATGCTGAACACCTCATCGATCCTGATCTCATGCCAGCATTTGGCTCTAGAGCATTGGAATCCCAAGTTCGGGAACATCTTGGCTCTTCCATTTTAAGAGAACTCTGTAGGAGTTGGTATGTAAATGTTGAGGGGTGAGAGGTGGGTCTAGCTTCCCCTGGGCAACCTGTGTCTCTACCTGGAAGAAATAAACCTTCTAAAAAATAAATAAATAGAAATAAAACAGGAAGGTTAGGATCAGCTCCTTAAAGAGATCTATTTGGTTTTGTTTATGAAACATGCTGCCCTGTGGAACATCTGTCTTCCCACTTCGCAATTAGTGTAAATAAGTGGTTTTCGAGAATATTTGTGGCACCCAAGGACATATAATTACGTTGATTGCAAATTCTGTCTATTCATTGAAGCAGGTGTCCTAATAGGATCTCTAATAGGGAACATTTATTTATCTTCCTTTGGCTGACAGCATGACCTTAAAACTAATAAAACTGCATTTCTCTAACCATCCCCAATTAGTCTGAATTAGTGAGTAATATTATGTTGTTGTCTTTATAATAAGACATACAGGTATGGATCTTTGGCAGTTGTTGATTTTGGCACTTGGAGTGACTTCAAATGCCTCATTTTCCACACTCCCATCTGTAGATGCCAAATTTTATATTTTTTCTTTACTTCAGATGTGTTTGGCCCCAGCAAACTTACATTAGGACTGAATTTGTCGCTTCTACTGGCAGGCAAACATCTCCTCCCCCACTGGACTAGAGTAAGCTATTAGGTATATGTGGTTTGTATGTGAGGGGGTAGGTTTAGCTTGGGGTGGGAGAAACACCCTATCCACGTTTTTTGCCTTAAATCTTGGTAGATAGTGGGAAGATGAGTTTTGTATCAGCTGCCTATAATTTGTATCTTTGATCTTTCAGATAGCCTTCTCTTCTTTGATAAATTTAACAGGTGATAGAGTGAAGGTCTCCAAAAGAAATATAAACATTTTGGCATTTATACGGCTGCGGAAACAACCAATTAAAAGTACTCTTCTGTTGGTTATTGATTTTATTCCCTTCCAGTAGGGCTAGGAGAGGGGAAGAAACAACAGAGAAGGAATTGTGAAATTTAGCTCTTTAGTTCAACAGTCAAAGGGTCAATAAGCCTTTATTAAGCACTTACTATGTTCTAGGCACTGTGCTATGTACTGAGAATACAGAGAAAAAGAAAAAAAAAAGAAAATATGGAACCTGCCCTCAAGGAGCACATATTGGAGTATCGTCTTCCAAAACCTCCAAACAACTCCTATGATATCATCCTGAACCTTTTCCTGGCAGAGAAACCCTCATGGACACACTGACACTTTATTGCAAATTTTGACACTGGACACCAGATTCCCAGACCACTGTCCTTATGAAGCACTGATTAGCAAAATTAATAGGATGGGCTTTCTCACAATGCAGCTATCTCTGCTTTAGAAGTAACCCATTCAATTGTATCATTGAGATGAAATGGAGGGAATTTTGCTGAAGATGGATGGAAACTCCCCATTCCCTCCATTAGCTAGTCTCCAAAACCACATCTTTCCCCCTAAATATGGGACAGTGTGGCAAGTGCTAACACACACACACACACATATTATAATGTCAAGTGAATCATCTACTTTAAAAGGCCAACATTTACAGAGAAAAAATTAACAAGAAACCTATATCTGGGCACTTGTCTAATGGTAGAAAAAGAGGGTTAAAATTTGTATCCCTTTCCCCACAAATGAGAGATGATATACATTGACAACTGTCCCTGGGAGGATTACTAAGGAGCAGAGTCCTAATTGAGGGAGGGAGGGAGGGAGACGGGAAGAACAGGGAACATGGTGAGATTTAGTCAGGGCTAATTGCTTCATTAGAGGAGAGTCAAGGAATACAAAGAGAGAGCTTGTTGTCCAGTCAGTGCATTCTTACTAGTGCTGAAATAATGTGAAAGGGTATGAAAGAAACCCCCTCTGCACTCCTCACTGAGTGCAAAAGTTCTTCATTGAGCTCCGGGAGTAACGATCTCTCTGACTTGGTCACAAGGCCTGGGTCGTTGGAAATTCAGTTGTGTTGACTTGGTGCTCTCTTGACCAGGCTTGATGAGCTCAGTGAGTGAAAGAACCTCACGGTGGGTGGGGGTGGGGGTGGGGGTGAGGGGGTAGGGCACGGAGCGGGTTCTGGCTGAAATTGTTCCCTAGAGATAACTGGACATGAATGTACAGGGGTCTGCATTTTCCCAAGGGCTCAGTACTTTAATTCAATCCATAATATGAAACCCCTAGATCAGAGCAAGAGAAACACCATGGTCTCATTACTTTCCTTTTCTCCCAAACTTCCTCCCCCAATCCACACTCAAACTCATCACATAGTCCCATTAACCTCAAAGTATTGGAGTATTTCCAAAGTACTTTTCTAAAGGACCAGGCACGTGGCTAATAAAAGAAGTGAAAGAAGATATTTAAGAGGAATCTACTAAATTGTTCCCTACTTTACTGGGCTCTTAAAGCTTGCAATATTTTCCTAAGGAAAAGCCCTCTTTAATTCTCCTTCGATATTTATGCATTCTTCGGCAATAACCTCATGGCAAGATTTGAAGTAGCAAAAAAAAAAAAAAAAAAAAGTCATGCTTCTATTCTTGCATAATGAAACACACACTAATTCCACCCTCCATGCCCGAGGCATTTTGTCTCCTCACCCTTCTTCTACTGAAGGCTGTATGGACACCAATGTATACAGCTGGTGTGGGTTTCAGACTGCACAACAGAAGAGGCCTACAGATGACAAAATTGTGCCTATAGTCGACCTCTAGGCCTCAACCACATAATAGTGCATAAACAAGTGTTAGGCACAAGAAATTTAAGTGACCAGCTTTTCTCCTTTGCATAACCAATCACTCACAAGAAAAGGAGGCCACTGGAGCCATCCAATTTAGCTTAATTCCACATTTACTTATTGAACACTTGTCATGTGCTAACACTCTAATCTAAGCACAGAAATACAGAGGAGGGATAAGACATCATCCCTGTCTGGCAGAAATTTCCCATTTAGTTGGAGAGATGAAATACTTCTGGGGTGACGCAAGGAACAGCACTGAGCAATATGGTGTATGATGACATCAGCAAATGAGTTAGACAGAACATCGATGCTACTTGAAAGACAAAAAGTTGAGAGAGCATATTCGGGATAAGACAATTTCATGGAGGAAATAAAACTTAAGTTGCAAGAAGAGAAAAGATCTGAATGAATGAATCAGCGGTTTTTGAGGACAGGGAAATGGCATAATCAGAGGCAAGGATTTAGGGAACCAAGGAAAAAGGAATCAAAGGAAGTCTTGATTCTGGATAACTAGAATAATAATGGTGGCATCAATAGAAACTGGGAACTCTGGAGGAGAATCTGGATTTTTTGCACAAGTAGTAAGATCTGTTTTGTACATATTACATTTAAAGTGATGGCATGACACGTAGACATCTGAAAATGAAAAAAAAAGATTAAACAGACAAAAAAGAATTCTGAAAATGTCTAGGAGGCAACTGAATATATTGGCCTGGAGCTTGAGAGTGAGATTTGGGCTGAATTTGAGGGATATTTACATTGAGGTTTTCAGAAAAAAAGAAAGCAGTACAACGGAGTGCAAACAACTTGGAACTGGGAAGTCAGGAGACCTCCGGTCTAGAGCCGGCCTTACTTAAGCGGGAAAGATCTTTGTTACTAACCTGTATAACCTTGGGAAAGTTTCTTAACCTAAGTCTCAATTTTTGCTTCTGTAAAATGAAGGGATTGGACTCCATGTCTCAAGTTCCTTCTCTGGCTAACATTCTATTATTCTAGGAGCTAGTTGAAAATGTAAGATTGTATTAGTTCTCAGAACAACTTTAAATACTGACCTATTTCACAAGTAATATCTAAAACATTGAGCTATATGATAGGTAATCTTATTATATCTGGAGTTGTGACTTGCCAAAAAACAATTCAAATTTAGAAAAAAAAGCAATTAAATTCCATTCTCTATGGAAAGGTTTATGAGTTTGATAGAAAAGATGGTGGGGGGGCAAAAACTTTGTCACATGTGGTTAGCATGTTATTAAGAGGGAGGATATTTTAAATGCTGAAGACAAGAGCCAATGGAGCTTTTAGGGCAGAATCAAAGAGAATGCCAAAGTAGGAGCCAAATCCATTAGAAGTAGCAAGGTCTCTCTCTCTCTCTCTCTCTTTCTCTTTCTCTCTCTCTCTTTCTCTCTCTCCCTCTTTCTCCATATATACACACATATATGCATACATATATAAATT